CTTCAACAGGAGAATGCCACAATAATCGATGTTAAAATTCGCGCAGTTTAAACAAACATTTAATTTCTTTTGTGAGAAATCATTACCCTTCATAAGTGCCCTCAAAGAGACTTTTATAGGGGGCCCCGCCAAGGCACGCTACGCCACTGCGTCCAGACTAAATAAAGGAATAATGAGAGGTCCTGAATATAAAGTTACAATAAAGAATAAAGTTGTAAGAATTGCTGTTCTATATTTTTTTTATTGTCTTCAACACAATAACTGATCTACAGTGTGTTAAATTATTTTTGTCTGATTTATCTATTAGCTATATCTTATTGTTTAAGCGCCTATCTGTTTTTTATCCGACATAATTATCATTTAACATTATTAAAATTTTTATGTGCGTTGTTTTGCACACGCATGTAAATATTATTTATGGTCCTGGTAATCTCAACACAAGAAAGGTTGGGAAATCCTGGGTATAAAGGGAACGAACGGATTATCAAAGTATTTGTAACAAAACATTTGCAATAAGAATGATAACGGTTTCGCGTTATGTAAGAAGTGTTGGAACTTATTGAGGAAAGTAAGGTGAGCCTTATATCATGAATGAGCCATTATTATAGGTCCCTGTATTAGCCAAGAATGAATGTATTATATGAAAAGGTGACTAAATGGCTGATCGGCATTCAAGATTATTTATAACTAAAGAATTATTACTTAAAGATTACAATGCTTTGCGTTTTTTTCGTTCTTTTGTTACTCAGTAAACGCTACCCGTAATCTAAGTTGCTTTTGCTGTATTATTGTCATAATTTGCTTTTAAGGATAGTACCTAGTTAATCCAATATTATGCAGAGCTATCTTAGATTTTTAATGACCAATTTCCTCCTCAGCGATTATTTTGTAAAATACTTAAAGAGTCGTCTCGTACCTATAATAAATTTCAGTCATTCAAAACTTTTTTGGATTAATTTAAAGCAACTTCTGAGACGTGTTAAGCAGCAGACGTTTGAGAGGTCTGTAAACCTTTTTTACAATAAGAACAAACTTTTTAACAATTTTATCCTATTTTGATACTCTTATATTTTATTTTCTAATCTACATACTTAACCAGTGTTCCAGCAGCTCCAGGTTATTCAGCACCTGACCTCCGCCGTTGGTACTAAGTGATGCATATACCCTTAGTACCTTAACATACTGATATTCAAGCCTAAAAAAACTCTTGCACGTTTTTTTCCACAAGCTCTCCGTCGTATAGGTAGGTATATTAAGGTACAGTGCTTGAGTTTTCATGTAAAATATTTATTTCCATTACTATCACCCCACCTATCCGTGATTATTGAAATCATTAGAATATTCTACTTATTCAAGATTTAACAAGATTTTCTCTTGACTGTGCGAAAATCTATCGTGTGTAGTTCTCGGCGGAGGTGCGTTTAACAAAATACTTCGGGAAATCTGAGTTTGCTTCGCTTTTGTTGCTTTATTTGTTAAGTGTAGAGATAACTTTTTGTATCAATCAAAATGAAATAGGTAATTAAACCGATTAATGCTTAGAACGCGTCGTGGCTTTTCTTCACTGCCACAACACGTTGTGGTTAGATAGCATGACAGCCACGACACGGATTTCGCTATGTGGACTGTGAATACTACGCGTTGCAAACTACTTTTTCGATCAATCAGCGATTTCGATCTTTGAGTGACATTTTTTATCACTTTTTGATCCTTGCCCACTTTATGTAAGAAAAGTTAGAATTTCCCTTAATGTACAATTAAGTAGGTTCTAGTATTTTTTTTAGGCTGGATTTATTTTCATAACTACGTCCAGTATAGCATAACATTTACGAGTATAGAGTTGTGATTGCAATTATTCATGTATTTACTGTCCAGGGGTGCGAACGTCTAATTCGTTCATTTTACTATTTTCACATGTCTTAAGTTATCGGTAACACTGCTATCAAATCCATAATCAAAATTCTTTATTATTCTTTCGTAAATTCTTTATTATTCTTGTCAAAGTAGTAAAAAGAGACGAATTATCGTCTTAACACCGTTAAGATATGGTATCCTATGGCATGAGAGTTAGTCGATCACCCCTAAGGCGCAGTTGCAGTATACGGAATCAATCGGCTGATGACTTTTTTAACGTTAAATTAACTTATTTATTTTACTAACGGTGTCAAAAAATAACTACTCTGCGAATGAATTTTATCAGTAATTTAAATCAATTGACGAAAAGGGCTGAACATTGATAGCGTTGTGGTCCGCATGGTCTATGTGCAATGTGGAGGCTGAAGAGCTTTCGCTGGTGTCGACTATAGGATGGATGAGAAAAAACTTATTGCCGTGCTTCGGAAGGTCCCAGTTGCATATGTTGTTTTACATCCATCAATACTAAATGGTACTGCGGGGTGGAATATGAGCTGTTTTCCCTATTTGATTCCATTCATAGAAAGGTCTGTGCCACTGCAGTGGTGCTGATAAATAAACGATAAGTGACCAAGGAGGTTTATAATTCGACTGAATGAGAGAAATGATCCCAAAATTACTAAGTATTTTTTTTAATTACATTTATTTCTATCAAGTAAAATATCACATGTTCGTTTTCATAGGCAGTTTCATGTTTCATATTTGTGAAAGGGATAAACGGTAACTTTATTCTTTGTTTGCTTTTCAAATCAAAATTGTGTAAAGTAATGATGTTGTTACAGTAGGATATCGATGAATCGGAGAGTGGAATCTCTGACATTTTTAACGGATAACTGTAAAGTATAACGTTTGTTGTGGTCCTGTGTTATTTATCACGTGCTGTTCTGTGTCGTCGTACAGCTTTCATATTTGCAAGACGGCAGAGTAACTTTTTTATAGTTACTAGCTGTTTTCCCGCAACTTCGGTCGCGTGATCTTCCCGCAGGTGAAAAAAAATCATGATAAAATCAGTATTTCCGAAAATTACCCCTACAAACATAAAGTTAGAAATTTTATCTCTTTTATAATATAATTATAGATTCATTAGGATTACCAATGAATAAAGTAGCTGAGACAACAATCTGAGACATGAGCGATATGACTAAACAGTAAAAAACCAATTTGTGTAAATTTATTATACTGCAATCATAAGCCAAAAGGATGCATCTAAAAAAACGCATTATTTCGTAATAGTAATTGACAAAAAATCATATAACTTGAGGAAGTTCATGACAAGAGGAGGTTAAAAAAGAAAAAGTTAGATTCAACCATGCGGTGTAAAATCGACCAGAAAATTCTTTTTTACCGTTTTTTGGCTTATAAAGTAAAGATGGCCTCAAATTAAAATAACAAATCAAAATAATGATGTAGATATGCATATTAAAAATACACTGCTAGCTTAAGCAAAATCTGTAGCTATTAATATCATATTCAGGTGAAAATACAAATATGTATTTTTAAATAAATCAGCGTTTAGGTATATAATATGTGTGTATTGAGTCATATGTGTATAAAGATTTTATCTTGTATTTGTTTCTGTTGAATCACAGTTGGGTAGTTGAGTTTCTTTTGAGATGCGATTATTACGTAAACAAGAAATATGAGCAAAAGAAACTTAACCAGCTCCAATAGAAGTAACAAAATAAACATTTTGACGAATATGAATTGAGCTTAACGGTGACCCAGTCTTTTCATTAGGGTCCCGTGCCCAAATTTAAAACGGGACGCTATTACTAAAATTCCACTCTCCGTCTGTCACCGGGCTGTATCTCTTGAATCGTGACAGCTAGATAAATGAAATTTTCTATATGTATTTCTGTTGCCCCTATAACAACAAATACAAAAGAAAAACAGAATAAAAGTGATTTATTTATCTAAAAATTCATAATAGCAACAGGTAGACGCTTGAAATTTTATAGTTTTATATTAACTTTGAATAGAAGTATATCAATTGAAATAAAACATTTACATGATGTATAAACATTTATATGATGTATACAACATACATTTTTTCCGTTTTTATTGAATATAAAGAACCATTCGTGTGCAAGTCTAATTCTCAGCTGCAATAGCTATGTGGACAGTTACCCTTTACCCACATGACTCTACATTTATTAGTTTACGTACACGTAAAGTTTAAATTAGGTACGTTTTGTAATCGCATCATACTCCTATAGCGCTTATCGTCCTATTCCCTAAAAGTTGACTAAGATAATTCCGTTTTTATTTATCTCTTTTTTAAATCATTCATTAAAGCTTTAAAAAGTATTAACAATTGGCTAAATTATATTATATTTGATCAATTTTGCATTCATAATGCTGTTTTTCATTAAGAATACTTACCTTGGTTTGTTTGTTAGACATGTAAAGCTAGCTGTCCTCATGGAAAATCACACTAAAATAAAGATGCTAATCTAACTGAATTGAAAATTAAGTGTCGTATAAACATTCATCGACTGAATACGATAGTGTGGGGCCATTAAAGATGGTGGAGCATCCAAATAATTTAATAATTAAATTTTAATATTTTTTTAGTATAAAGGTTCATTGAGAAGTACCTATAGTGTATAGTACGTTCTATTTCGTTAATAGGTTTTTCGGAATGTAGGGAATTGACTACAGCAAAAATAATGTTATGTGTTGTGTGTGTTTTTATTATTAAGTTTATAACATCAAGCCTTTATATAGTAATTTTGTATTATTATAGTTGTCTGAATTATATTTCACTTAATTGAATTATAGTTGTCTGAAAAAAAACAAAACCTTTTATATAATATGATTTCTGATAAATTTGTAATAATAAACAAATATTAAAAAAGAATATAAAGATATCATTTTTGTTATGGCTTTGAGATAGGGCTCCTCAGGCCCCGTGGAGTTTAGGAGAGACATCGGCGCAGGTTAGGTCGCAGCCGAGCAGCGGCAACGGTAACGTCACGCGGCACGGCGGCACGGCGGCGGGCGGCGGGCGCCTATGTTGGCGTCTCGCTTGCGGGCGACCGAGCAGCCAGCGACCCAGCTTGGCGCTCTCCATTCAACGCGTACCACAGCGCCCCACCCGTTCATTGCCGATTTGACCGCAAGAGTGGATCGACGCACTCTTGCTAACGCGTCTTCCTTATTGCTGTTGCCAATTTTATTCTGAAACATTTTTATAAACTCAAAAGAGTTCGCCGCCAACACAGTACAACGAAACACTGTTATAAAAAAATAAATCGCGATCGATTTCGATTATAATTTTTGATTTAACCCGAAAAGTTTAACTGCTGATTTCATAGTCGATTTGCCGAGCGCAACTCGCTTTCAGTTTTAGTTTTCACTCTACGGGTTTTCTAAATTTTTAGAGCCACTTACCGAGTATTTTTTTAATACGCTGTGACGCTTTCGAGGTATTTTCATTAGACGTGGAGCGGAAAATATAGGAAAATGTCGAAAAAACATCTTCACAATCAAGCTGCTATACCGTTAGCTCCGGCGGTATTTAAGGTAAGAATTATTTATTTTTTGTCATAAGCGAATTTTTTTTTTATGTGCACGTTATGGTCTAAAAATATATATATCGATCTAATTAATAATCTTGAATAAAACATGCTTTGCGATAAATATTTTTTAAAATAATACAGAAAATATTTGCTTTACATAAAAAACTGGCACTTTTTCTTGGTACGTACACAAATTGTCATTTTGTAGAGTTTAATATTTATAGATATACAGGTTAGGCATTTTTCTATAGAGTCTTCTGCTTAAGTATACAATAAATGTTGCATCATACCGATATGACGGTTGATTTAAAAAGTTTTGCTGTGCGTTTGTGTCTGAAACCGCCTACGCTCTACCTGCAACTAATATTCAACCTTGTATTATTACGTTACCGCAACTGCAGGATAATTATTCATTCATTTACAATAAAGACAAATCAAGTCAGCGTAACCGTTCCAGACACATTTATAAATTTCCATAAACAAATAAATAAAAAAATAATTGTCAAAACATTAAGAAAATCTGGTCTAGAGCGAATCGATTTCGCATAATGAACTATAATGAAATTCACAAAGACAAACCTGACTTTAGCAATTGGGTAACAGTTATGCCATACATTATATATAATATCGCAGTCAGTCTATCAACTGCAAATGAGTTTATTCGACTATTTTTTGTGATGTGTATAAGTAATGAAAATTTACTTTGCATGTGCTATAAAACATGTTGATTTTCATTATAGGTCAACGAGAAGTTTCATCACCTTTGGTTTAGTTCCCTTGCGAGTACAAACCATAATATTAAAATACCTGAGCGGTAGAAACAGCTTCGGTATCAACAGTTAGAAGCAACTGCGTTAACTTTGAATTAATGTTTTTCATAGGCAGGCATTATAGAGTAAACTTAGGGACTTGATATTAATTTCAGTATCAAATTTCCTTTCCGTTCTTAAGAAAAAGAAAAAAAAATAACACTGAGATATTCGAAAGATGAAAACATTCTAATCTATTTAGGAAAAGTAACTCTACAGGTTAGATTAGTATTCTATAAGACTTCATTTTTCTTTTGAAGGACTCTTAAAATATAATTACTTAATACTAATGATTAAATATAAAAAAGATTCACAAAGAAATCTTCCCTAATAATTAACATTGTCTTGAAATTGATTCAGTAAACGAATGTTTACCAATTGAAGAAAACAAGATAGAATCTCCGTTGAAAGTAGCCTATTATTTTTTTTTATTAAAATACTGAAGTCGGAGGAAAGTTTGGCTGTGTAATCGTTGGCTTCCACTTTTTGGCAGTTAGGTATATTGAAAAAAAAATCGGCCTTGTATTATTCTATTTACTAGTATGTCACCAATGCCTACACCATAGAAGGAGAAGGCGTGAAGGCCAACTCATAAGTTAATGAATTGTTTATGTTCACTTGCTTTACTTTACCTATCTCTTTAATGAACCTAAATAGACATCTGCAAATTGTGTAAAACCTATATCCTTATATTATAAAAAAGAAGTTATTAAACTTAGTGAAGAAACTTTTTGGAAATTCAAGCTTACACTAAACCCTAAAATAAAAATAAAAAATAACCTAGTTTAGTATGTAGTTTTTTTAATATTAAGTTAATTACTTACTACGTATTTTTCTTCAAATCCGATCATCCAAAGATTCTATGAAATATATTTAACGTACAGACGCACAATTTTTACAGATTTATTATAGTATAAAAATATGATTATTTTTATACCAGGTTTAAACCATTATCCCACCAAAATAAGTCAACGAGTCTTAATTTGACATTTTCTCTTGTGACATTGTCAATTTGCTTTAGGCGGCACATGATATGAAATAAATGCAAATTTTCGTCTTCATTTTATAAAAAATCGGTTGGTGTTGGTAGACTAAACTATAAGTTGCATACCTACTTAAGAGCTTTGTTAGTCGTTTGTTAGTCAAAGCAAGGACCGTGTACATCGGAACAAGGAGCAAAGGAATTAAAACTTCGTTATTGACATAAACTCCTTATTGAAAGCTGTTGGCAGATTCAGCTACGGTGCTATTCTATTATAAACAGTCAACTAGACGTCGAATACAGCGCTGTCGAAGCATAGAAGTTCGATCAAATACTACATCAAAAGTTTTATTCCATTGAAGTTGTATGACGCGACGACACTGTGTTGTTCGACTTCTAGTTCGAGGCTATTTTTAACAGAATAACATAGCTTATCTGCGAAGTGTTCTACTAGCTGTTATAACCCGCGACTTCGCTCGCCTTTTCAGCGGGTAATAGTTTAGTGTTTTTCACAGTAAAAGGTATTTATTAGTAACATTTGACACTCTTCTACCTATTTTCTTATAAAATACTCCCATAACGGCGCTCCGTCGCGACGTAAAGAAAAACGACGAAAGGACAAACAAGTAACAAGCACTCTCCTATTTATAATATTACTATGGATATTATGAATTAAAAGTCAAAATGTAATGTAATTAATCGAGCCAATTTGTAAACCAAACTATAAAGAAATACATTATACCGATATTGATTCATAAACAAAGGAAATGGTTAAAATGCAAAATTATTGGTTAAAATATCTGTATATTCTATATGAATCAGTCACTAATGCACGTTTATCAGTTAACGACACAATAAATATTATTCCTGTAGCTCTAATTGGCGTAAAATTCATTAATGGAAAAATATGTTTTTATAAAGATGCGAGTAAACGAAATCATTATTTCAGGTTTTTTCTTTGACTTTGTTAGAGATGGACATTAAAGGTTATATGATAAAAACGTACATAAGTATGTAAGATAAGTGTATGGACACAGTAAAAGCAAGGACTTTTACACATAGGATAATTATCTTTATGGGTGTTTAAGCATTAGTTTACGTCGGAACAGTTGTCTTGACTAATATTTCTGCTATCATCGCTTCTAATATATATCTATCGTCTCGTTTTTACCTGTTACGATTTTATACACTGAGGCACTATTGTTCTGACTTCATACGGTTATACTTAGGTAAGAAAGTAAAACTCAAGCTATAATTGATTAGTCCCTGTTAAGTACAAACATTCTAACTAAAAACACTGCTACATTAAAAGACTATATAAAAAGTATTTATGTTTGTCGTGTGTCGCGCGCTACATTTTCTTTTAAATAATAACAAAGATCTAAGAGAAAGTTAGATAACGAAGGCTAATGCGTCCAGCCTTCTAACATACATTCATGAATCATCGCATATGAATTGGATTGTAGGTATATAATTTTAAAACCTTTTCAATAGGTACACTGAAAAATATAACCGAACGCGTCTACCAAAAAATTATTTACCACATCGTTTGCCATATTTGTTACATGGTATTTTATTTGTTATATGTGGTAAAATATACTATGGAATTTTTAACTATTGTAATAATAGTAAGTGTTAAATGAATGAGTGATAAAATTCGCGTGTCCAATACGTTGGTGTCATGGCAGGTGAGCTAACACGAGACTGCTATTGTTAAGTTGCAATACGAGTAAATGTTTGTCCACCTGACCACATAAACGTTTGCTTCTTAGGAAAGCCTTATAAACAATGCACATGAATATGGGTATTCATTGATAACTGTTTCCTCGTTGCGTCTGAAATATTAATATCGATCATAATTAACTTCTTGATCAAATATTTTATGATCTGTGCAGTTATTATTAAAGTAAAGATATATTCATATAGATACATTTTTTATGTTGTTCGATAATGTTATAATGTTATTTAGTTTTGATTGACTCATAAAAAAGTATTTAACCGTCCGCCGATATTAGTTTCATGCATCGAGCTCAGTGAACATTGGCTTGATGTTTGAGATTTCGTTGTCTTGTTTTAATAAAGCGTCGCCGTCGAATTTGGCGCTAGCGCAGGCGAGCTTGCGGGGCCTCTATATTGGTGCGAGGAGTGTAGAGGAGGCGTTCGCGACGGCGGACAGCTTCGCTCACTCATCGGCTTGTAAATTCTACCAGCGCGCCTTTGCGGTCGTCACGGCACTTACCCCGTTAGATATACGTTGTATATTTGAATGCACGATGGTTGCAACGCTCTGGCACAAGTTATACGAGCAAGGCGCTTGGGCAGTGGAAATTTCCATAGCCGCGCTTCGCTTGCCGCGACGCGTGTCCTCCCTTCCCCCGCACTTCACCTGAACGAAATGCCATTCTCATGGAATAGTGCTTCTTAGTGGTAATTCCTTGGGACACAAACATTATGGGGCGAAAGTCCGCTAAGCTTGTCAATGAAATGTACTTTTTACATATAGTGGCCAATAGTGGCAGGCTTACCTTTTAAACTTTCCACGAAAGTTGCATAATATTATGTAACTATTTAAAAATATAATTTATTTTCTAATATGGTTTTATAATTTATAATAATACAATAGTATAATAAACATATAACGCGTATATATGTAGCTATGTGTACTTTTCGATTACCGACTGCTATACCTATAAGAAATCTTTAACTTTCATTAAAATATTCAAGCAAAAAACTGTCTGTGTACCTATAGACGTCGGCTTTAGTTTGTTTTATATCTTTTGTGTTCACTGTTACCTGAGAAATCGCGACCTCGTCGTCTGTAACAATGGGCTTTCGAATTTTCCAGAATGGTAATCTTCGGTTTTTGCTGTTCTCAGAATCGAGTTATTCTTCTCGTATAAATATTTGTGTATGTACATTTTAGAAGCGACATCGATGCATATCTTTGCATTCGAGTGTAGTGTGAACTCATTCTTTCTTGTTCTAAAATGGTGTATTCAAATGTTACGAATATTTAGCACGTAAAATTGAAGAAAAAATTGTTTAAATAATTTTCGACTAATATTTAAAAACTATTTTTAGGGTATTAGGTGTCGGACCCTATTTATGTTATCAGAAGGTTAAATAAGAAAACACGTTCACTCTGTAACTCCGTATATTAGCGACTAGTTAAAAAGTCTTTATTCTACAGACGCTAACAAATTGTTTATAAAC